TAGCCTGGTATGATGAGATCATCTCGCCTTTGTTCTGTTTATGCATCATACCCAGTGGTTATGCTCATAAGCATTGGCGAAAACTCGTTTTTATGCTCAATCAAGTGATTTTGTTTTTTGTGGTTCTGGTAGGTTACGACACCTCTGCTTTTTAAACTCATCCCAGCTGTTGTGCATCTTGGAATTTTGCTAAGATGGTTTGTTCCAGACAGCTCTGTCGAGGTAAAACGGTTTAATCTACGTTGTAGCTCCTCCTATGTAGCAAATGTACAAGTAAAGTGAACTCTGATTCGGTTGGCGGGAGAACTAGCAGATGGGTATGAAAGGAGAGGTTCTGCGACCAGAGAGCGGGAAACAACGGACGTCACACCAATCCCACAATTCATAGAAAGCCCTCCCAAAGTAATCATTGAGAAAAAACCACACGGATGAATGTTCGAAGTCGAATTTGCGGAATGTAAATTGCGTCAGCTGCATCCTCGCTTAGTCCTAACCAGACGAAGAAGAAGAAGAGAGAACTGAGACACCTGTTTCTTCCAAGACTAACTCAAGGCATCCGCCTCAGAGACAGGTAAATAACGATCCTTCTTTCTTGCTCACCCCTCTTGTCTCTGTTCCTCAACCGGGCTCTATTCCCTTGTTACTATCATCTTGTTTTCCTCTTTTCCTCGTGTGATCCGAAAATGTGTAAATCTCTTCTCTCTCTTTCTCTCTATTGGCGTTTATTCCTTGTTGGGTTTGGGGTGGGAATCCTCTGGTCTCTATTGTGGTTTGTGTTCTTGGTGTGAGCTTTGGGCTCTGTCCTTCTCCTTCCTTTGTATCCAAATTTTGTCCTCTTTACTTGACGAGTTTCTCCTTTCTCTTCTCAACTTTATTTCCATCATCTCTCTCTCTAGCTCGCACACACGCACAGCTATTATACGGGTACTCCGAACCCGACTGGCCACGAGTATCTATCTCATGGGGGAACTCGTCCGACCCTCATTGAGGATGAGATCGGGTGCATCATATCTGGAAATCCGAGTTTTAGATTTGAGGTCAAGTTTTTTTTAGACTGATTACCAATACATGGGTAACCCACGCGAATGGACGGGCATTCGGTGTGAAACTTCAGTTCCGAATAGATCCGAACCAAAACCAAATCGAACTGTATAAATAATGAATCGAACTCTTCAAGTAGTGAACCAAATTTTGAATTATCCATATTGTATGTATAAATATTATGTTTCGATTTTTATTTAGTATCTAAATTGAATCAAATTGAACCATTTAACATTTGGTTCTAGTTTGATATAATTTTTATGAAGTCGAAAAAACCGTTCTCGAATCGAACCGAGATAAAGGTGATGCTATGCGAGATTAAGCGTTAGGTTTTTTTCAAATTTTAAATGAAGGGTGAAGATAAAAGTATCATTTGGCCTACAAAAATTAAAACTTTTCTTCCGTCCATCTTTGCTACTGAACCTCAAGACTTTGAAGGGGAATTTTTTTTTTTTTTTTTTTTTGACAATACGTAAATTCACCAGACCTTTAACGGACCAAGAAAGTCGGGTGAATGCCCCTCTCCATGTCTCTGGCCTCATGTTGCCGTTTGTCGTGCTTTATTTCACATCGCCGCACCTCAGACTGGGTCACTGGGGTACTCGCCGCGCAAAAGCCGTCTTGTCCCAGGCAAGCCGCCTCACCGACCGAGTGTCCTAACCCGCGAATATCCGAATGTCATGTGATCATCCAAGGAAACGTCAAGTGGTCATCCAATGAAGCTGGGGACCGAGATACACGGTGCGACAACACTGAAGCCGAGTACGCCCGAAAATCTGAGATACCCACGCCTACCCTTCATTATGTGCTGTAATTCCCCAGATTTCATTATTCCACGGAACCACGACGGTAACGATAATCGTATCTTATATCTCCAAAAGAAACCCTAACGATGAACCCTACAAACAGACGTCAAGCATATATGCTCTAACAAAGGATTTTATTATTGAGATAATTTACAAAATAACAACAGTGACTCGCCATCGTTGTCAACATCACAAAGAGAACACCCAAATGAAGATCATAAATAAAAGAATCGAAATACCTCTCACCTGTGTATGTGTATACATATATATATATATAACTACCATAATCTTATCACCCTCCTAATCCCTCACAAAACCCCCCACACCCTCACTGTTTCCCTATACATACATACATACATACAAAGAAACATACATATATACATATGTACATATGTATGCATATCTATGTCGGCCTCTATATCCACAGCCTGCACCGCACTGAGACCCACAGGCAGAACCGACACGACCACGACTATCACGCAATCGATGCGTGTATATATACGCATATAGGAAGCAAATGCAGAGGCCAAAGTAGTTTTTGTTACTCTTTGGGAGCTGGGTTTCTGTTATTTTGATATGTTGCATATATGTGGTGTCTGGTTTTTGGTTTTGGGAATGTATTAGGAGATGGGGACACGTGTCTTGATGGGTTTGAGCTTCAAGCCCATGCTTTCAGGGGAGAGAAGCTCGGGGGAGATACTGGTGGGACTCAATGGACTTCTGGGGCTTACGCTCTGTATCTGTCTGTATATTCCATATCCCATCAAGAAATACTCCATCGGTATCATCATCGCGTGCGGTTGTTCTTCCGTCACCAATGATCCACATCCTTGTACCTTTCAAAAGTTTTCCCATTTCACCAAAAAAAAAAACACTTTTTAAGTTTCTGATCCAAAAAATATCCTGTTAGATTCTGTGTTCGGTGTTTGTTTAGCAAAAAAAATAACGTATATGTTTCTCATAGGACGGATGAGGACCAAGGATTCAAAACTAGTTCGAATTCACATGCCAAACCAACACAACTCATATAGTATGTATGGTCTTCATTCAGACACCTTTTCTATGCATCCTATTAAAAGTTTCCAACTTTTTTTTCTTTCTCATCTTCAACGAACTCAAGAGGTTACTTGAAATTTCTTACCCTCGAGTTCAGGAAAAAGAACAGAAGAGATTCTGAGTGAGGGAGTGTAAGTGCATACCTCGACTAAGGCGCTATACCGACGGTCGAGTTTGGTGGTCATGTGGACGGCCTCCGAATGGTAAGGAGAATGTTCCCCTATGAATATTAGTGATCGACACTGCAGTTTTCTCAACCCCTCGCTTAGGTCCATTCTCCTGTGTATCAAGTAACGGATCGACTCAACAATTTTTTTTCAAAAGACAAAAGCATCTTTTAAATCACATAGAAATCCATAATCACTGTCCTTTTTTCATATATATATACAACCCAATACGGGACACAATGTCACTACCTTCTGAATTCTTATGCTCGATAGAGTTTGACAAGGTCTATCATATTTTCATCCCGTCCAAATAGGGTGAAACCAACATGACTCAGACAAATATCAAGGAATGGACAAATTCCATGTTACTCTCTACTGATGGCCTAAACATAGACTGAAAAAGCTGATATGAACAATTCTATCTGCCGATTGAGGAAATAGAAGGATTACCCATTGATTGCTTCGAGAAATCGCCACACGTTTGTACTCTGCCGCTCACAAAGTAACTGAAGAAGGAACAAACAGAGCATATGAGTTTTGACTTATTTTCTTGTCAAGAATGCAGTTCTGAGGTCTAATCTACAGACAAGCTCTCGAAACATCAGAAGAATGAAAGAATGAGGAAAAATACGAACTCTTCTGCATTCTTGAGCGATATCGGATTCTGGAACTTGACCATTACCACGAACTTCCTGAGAACATAGATGCAAACTTAGTCACTGCCAAGCGGGTTCTAAAAATGCAATTCATGCATCCATTTGCATGGACATACACACGCGTGTGCATGTAAAGACCGGATTTTTGCCACCTAAATTATTTTATATGTGCAAATAGGAGAAATGATAGCATACCTTGCTAAAGTACTGTTTAAGTAACAATTCCTTAACTACGCCACACATGCCATAGTAGTAAAGTAAATTAGACATAACCTGCACAGAGTTAGAACACTGACATGAGAATTAAACATAACAAGCTGAAGTATTGCACAAATAGATATCGAAAGAAAGATCTTTGTGGACAACCTTATTGTACAACCATTCTGTCCAGGAAGGTGCTTTGCAGAGTGGAGAGACGAGAATTAAACCAAGAACTCTTTGCCTGTACTTCATCTATAGACAAGAACAACAATGACGTAACAAGTAAATATTCAACTGAAAGAAGCGGCTTTAAGGAAAATTAAAATTGAATAGCAATGGGAACAGCAATTATAACACGAGTCTTTATCTAAGGAGAACAGATACTCACAGCAAATAACGTCAGAATATAAGCGCCCGCTGTGACACCCATACACATTACCGCACCAAGTCTGGACAAAAGAGTCAAGGTTTAAATAGACAGAAAAAGCCGACACATTTCTTCTACCTATCCTAATACTAACGAAAAGGATGAAGATATAAAAAAAATTGATGTGATGAATATGAAGACAGCTCAATGCGCGAAAAAAGAACAGCTCTTAACATTAAACTTTGCAGCACGAGCCAGTTTCCAGTGCTTTTCAGATGACTAATCCAAGGAACACCAGCAACAAGAACAGGACGCATAAAATATGGGACTGTGGTCCAAGATGAAAGTGATTGAGTTTTGTATTCACCCGAAAAAGTTAAGAACTTCGACTATCTGGTCTGCTAAGTCATCGACCGTGATCAAAGGAGCATCGAGGCTGATCGCTGGAGCTCCTAACTGCAATGGCTCTTGAAGAAAGCGATATATTAAGGAATATGAATTGCATCACCCAGGAAACTTGGAAAGTTATAGCTTTCAAACTAAAGTTACAACCTCATGGCCAAGAGGACTTATGTGATATATGCAAAAGTTGTGGAGGAGCAAGGAGCTTGCTTCAGGACAAAAGAATAATCCTTGGAAACAGAACATATCTGCTCAAAGGGACAGCAAAAAAGGGTAAATACAAAGTAGAAAGCAGAGACGGCATAAAAGAGTACCAACTTGAGAAGCATTTGATGTTCTAACCACTACTTGCATCATCATTCTAATTATGGCTTATTATCAATCAACACGTTGAAAGAGAGATCATGTGCTTACAATTTAGAGCTACATCGGGGTATGTTATAAGAGCTGGTTTATCTGGATCTCCATAAACGGCAACACATACAGGACCATGACTGGTTTTCACAAGGTGCTCCTGTCAACGAAAAGGTTCAATTAATTTACGGAAAACCCTCCAGGAAATGAGTAAAGGGAAAGGAAATTGGACGCGAGAATTAGGACCATACACCAAAGCTTCTATTTTTTTTTCTGGCGAGAAAACGAAATCGACCATCAACGTTCAAACAAATTACCCTCACACATCAAACATTAAAACAAAGGGAATCCAAAACCTCAGAATGAAGCGCAAATTTTTGCTAGAAATCCGACCGACGCGTAAACAAAGGATAAGGACCTTAGAAGAACAAGAAAAACTCAGGGCATAGTGCAAATTCATGCTTCCGTAAATATTTCTCCAAACTTTCTATTCACACCCGGTCCATGATTGTACGATGTACATGGATCTTCAAGTGGATCCCGAACAAAAGAAGAAAGTGGAATGAAGCAAAAGAGACAGCGATTAGCCACGGAAAAAGGGCACCCACAACCAAAATCCAGAACGTACGAACTTCTGCGACCGATTCAAACGAGGAGTAGAAAAAATCGACCTGATTATCAGAAAATGCGCATGTTTTTCCATGAAAACCAAGCCAGAGAGCAAATAACGTTCCAATATCAGCTCTAAACAAAAATTAACCAATGAAGTTAAAAAACGAACACAACGTCAAAGTTTTCCCGCATTTTCTCAGCAACCAAATAACTCCAGAAAGTCCTAAAAGCGGCTGTTGGAAATCAAAACCTTTAACCAGGAAGGCAAATGAAATTACACAAAGGGTAATTTCCAGTTGTTCGCATTTCTCGAAGAAAGCATCTCATACGATGTTGGATTTTCAGAAAACCATCTACAATCAATAAAAAAAAAAAAAAGAATCACGAGTACCATTTTGCCTATCTTCTATTCCCACATTTTCTCAGCAACCAAACATAAACCAGAAGATTCTCGGGCACGACTTCATACGACATTTACCTGGCCCCCAAGAGACAATGCATCCATTTCAATGGAGACAGAATCATTCGAATCCGCCATTTTTCTCTCCTTCTCTGTATCTGACTTCAAAATGCATTTTTGCATTTGCCTTCCATGGCCTCGTACACCGAATATCTCTCTCTCTCTCTCTCTTTCTCTCTCTCACCGGTGGATAATTCTCTTCGTATTCTGTTTTAATTTTAAATACACAGGGCGCCTCGTGCACGACTCGTACTGAGTCACCGACGATCGACTCGGTTAGTTTGGGACCCAAAATCACAAGGCTTAACTTGGTACCCTGGTCAAGTTAACCTTGGTTAAGGGACCGACAGTTTTTTCGATGTTTACAATTTAACCCCGTTATTTCTTGATTATTCAAACTAATGCTTCATTCTTTAGATTAAATCCTAATGCATCTCAAACGTGTCGGCTTCCGCATTTTGAGCTACCATATATGTTTATATATCGGTTCCTAAATTTTAAAATGTTTAACTTTTATATATTATTATTATTAGACTAAATATAATTTCCCTTAAATTATCTGTATTGAAAGTGCAGCTATTTATTCCTATTCAAAATCATTTGCATAAGTTATAGTTTTCATTCCTTAAATTATATTACTTGATCTCTTCATAATAATAATTAGAGAATGGTAATATATATGGTGAAATTGAAACATGAGGACCTTGGTGTAAGTATCATATATTGTGAGGTAAATATTGATATTTTACAAAGTATAGGGGCTAAAACAAAGAATCGGCTTTTTTTAAAGTCTACTAGTGTTGACTTTTTGACCCATTGGTTCATATGGACCATGGCGAATCTTCGGGCTCTGGAGAAATCTAAACCGTTGATTTTGAGAAACGAGTTGTTTGTCGTTTATTTATTTATTTTTTTCATATTTTTTTTCTCCCAAATTTCAGATGTGAACACCGTGTAGTTTTGTATCGCCAAAAACGGGGCCCGTTGCATGCGGGGTTAAAACCAACATGTCGTTTTCCTGTTGAGTTGGTATGTGTCATTGGCACCCAACCCAACAAGAGAGTAAAACCTTCGAGTCCCTTTTGCTTAAATGAAAATCCATGAATAGGAAAAAATAATCGATTATCATTATATTATTTAACCATATGTATATCTATATATTATATATTATTACATTCACATAAAAAAATATTAGGTATTAAGTATCATTATGTCTCATCATCATCCTTTGTACCTACATATGTTTGTTTTATACCATGTTATTCATGGCAATTTTTTAATGATTAATTCACCAACCGCATTTCTTAAATTTTACATTTAGAATATTATATATTATTGTTATTATCATGTATTAAAATAGTATGGATCATCATATCAAAAGTATTATATTGATTTTAGAAGTCACGGCTAAAGGGGCGATCGATATTCCAACTAACGAAGGTTTAAGTATGTTTTTCATATTTTACCATGCATGGATCTTGGATCATCCATCATGTGGAAGTTTATTACATTTTATTGTATTTATTCTTTCATTTAATTTCTATGTTACAAATTGGTAACAACATACCGATTTGTATTTGCCAATGTTCATTGGAATAAAAAAAACTATAATAAACCAAATTATGCAAATCGAATGAGCAAATTATGTGCTAAATTATGGAATAAAAATTAGTAGCAAAGGAAAGGGTAATAATTCGTTCCTTTTATACAGTTCTTTAAATAAATCGTCGAATATTTTACTTAACAAGGTACACAACATGATTGAGGGGTATATAGTTTATCCATTAAGTAATATATATTAATTTAGAGAATGGTAATATATATATGGTGAAAAGACTTTGGATATATAAAATTGAGAAGAATTAATTTCAATAAAATATTATTGTATTTTAATTTATTATTTAAGAACGATTGAATTTTATTTTTAAATTAAACTAAATTTAAATTGGAATAAAAATAAAAATGATCGATAAATTTTAACAACAATTAAATCACATAAAATTTCAACAAAATTGACAATTTAAAAAATACATAGTTTTTAAAAAATTTAAAAGAAAATTATAAATTAAACACAATATATATCTATCTATATATATAAATTAAATAAATAAATAAAGGAGTAAATAATAAAAATTAGGTGACTCGGTTGGGTGATTAAACGAATGGCACGTGTGATGTTACTCACGTTAACGCTTTGAACAAATAATCACCCATCGGCTGACGTCTCCATCTCGCCACCAACACGCACTCTCTGACACATGCAGTCTGATTTATACATATTGACATTTTTATATACATACACCGATACACACATATCCGCCGACAAATTTCATATGCATAACCACGTATCATATATGTATATTTGTATATGGTGTGAATTGAACGTGTGCAATAAGTATGCATCATCAACACCTTAGTTTTATTGAATCGACATATTTTGTATACATATATCCTATGTGCATTTAATTTTATTATTTTTTTAACCAGAATGGTTCTCCGAGTCTTCGGGTCGACTACATCCATCTTAGATCCGGGATCAGTCTTTGTATATGTATCGTTTTATTCCAAAAATTACATTCTTCTCCACCAGTGAAATCGAATCTAAGACTCTGAAAATGACTTTGTCACCTATCAACTAATGGAACACCGAATGTTGAATTATGTGCATTTAATTAAGTATATAATATTGATTATTATATATATATATAATGTTTACAGACAATCATGCTCAATCTCTTTGGCTTTGCCGAGTGTAAAATTTATTTGTGGTAATAAGAAAATGAAGTCAATATATATATATATATATATATATATATATGAATATATAACATATACATTAATTATATATATTTTTAATATATTTAAAATAATTGATAAATTTGATGTGAACTCATCATTATCACCATGATAGAACCGTTGGCCCCCAAAAGAAATTGTCGGTCATAGATAATAAATTCAATGTGGTGTATCTATTAAGAAATTATGAATGGATTTTTTTAAATTGAAGAATCTTTTCACCAATTTTTTTTTTTTGGGTGGAAAAATGTCACATTCCTCAACAGATTTTTGTTAATGTTTTCAATTTCTATATCGATTTTTAATTTGATAAACATTTACCTAGAAATTCAAAATTTTCCAAAATATCGATCGTAACATTTATTTTTGAATCTATCTAAAAAAGAATCAAATCAGTTTTGATATCACTATTCTTTTTGTGAACTTGTGTTTAGTTGCAGCTTTTTTTTTTTTTTTTTGTCAGTTCACTTTAAACTTTTGTATCTAGAAAGTGTGACTTTCCAGTTTCCAGTTCCATTATTTAGAAAGAAAAAAAAAACTTGTTTCAGCCCTCTCATTTTTTGTATCATAATAGAATAAAAAAAAAATCGATTAGTTATCTCATCTTTTTTTTTTTCTTCCATTCCATTCATTGGAATTTTTACCTTTAAATTTTTTTGCTCGATACGTTGATTAATCTTTTCATTTTTTTTAATTTCGTCATCATTCAATTTTATTCCATACATACAATTCATCTAATAGTTATATATTGCATCGAACTATTTTACTACGAAACTTTTTAAAATTATCATGATTTGTATTTAGTTTTTATTTCATAACACATTAAGACTCATCTGCATTACAGTCTCTGCATTACAGTCTCAGAGTGTTCGTCAAAATTTCGTCGATAATTATTTTGTTCAGATTATCACCCAATTTAAAATTTCTCATATATCCGGGAAAAATAAGAAAATAGCTTCGGAATAAAAGAAAAGAAAGAACACTAACACACACGGATGAATACGAAGTTGTGGAAAGTCTCGAGGCACGAGTTAGACGTTTTCCAAAAAGTATATTTACCTCCACACAAAGTTGTTTCGGGTTAAAGTAAAGTACCCTCGGGATACAACGAGACTTGTGTTTCTTTCTCGAGAAGCAAAACTCGGGAGAAACCTCACTCTCACTCAAGAATGTTTGAAATGGTTTTGTGTTTTCTTTCTTTGGAATGGATAGATGAATGAAAACTCTTGATGATACAAAGTCACCAAATCATGGGTTTATATAGTCATGATTTTATAAGTTACCACATTAATTCAAATAGGTTACTTAATTAAATAAAACAAGTTACTTTATTGAATGACATGTTACACAAACATGTAGTTACTTTTTCACAAAGAAGTTTCATTCAATTAAGGTTCTGAAAGTAACTTAATTTCACTAATTAGTAATCTATCTCCAACAATCCCCCACTAGATTGCTAATTCCAAAGAATCAATAATATCTTACGACAATGCATAAAGGATAGGTATCGTTTAGATTTAAACCTTCCCTTAGTACTAACTTCTCAAGACTCAAACAAGATGATCGGTGGCTTGACGGTTAAACCGGCACCTTAAAGTAAAAATCGGAGAAATTATACACAAAGTCGTTCACCACTTGAGTAAGAGTATACTTTTGTTAGCACCGTTATGACCTTGTGCTCATCCCGTTTCACAAACATGTACGAGATAAACCTTTTGAAAAACTCTCGTTTGAAGCGGCACCACTTCATGCCCGTATAGGTGGACTTCGCGACACTCAAGTCCGTCCATTAAGAGTATTCAACTCATCCTCCTGAAACTTAAGCACTAAATCCTATATACCTTAGTGCACTTTGTCATTCAATAACTTGTCATTACCCTTTAAACTTCGAGACTAACTTCTATTAGATCGAGGTTGAGTTACCATTATCAATGTGACAATGACACGAGATAATGAAATAGGTTTAAGACCCATCTTAGCGGTGGTACTCCAAACCATACCTTTAGACAACGCTTTTGTCAAATGATCCGCTAGATTGTCACTTGACTTAACATAGGTAACGGTCATCACTCCGCCCCTAATTAATTGTCTTACATACTCATGTCTCAAACTTATATGTCTAGACTTTCCATTGTACACCCTATTGTACGCACGAGACATGGTTGACTCATTATCGCAATAAACGGAAATGACAACTATTTGTTGTGGCCACAACTTTATATCTAACAAGAGATCTCTTAGCCATTCCGCTTCTTTGCCAGCGGCCGCCAAAGCTATAAACTCGGCCTCCATCGTAGAGTGTGTGATGCAAGTTTGTTTCTTAGAAGTCCAACTTATGGCTCCACCTCCAATCATGAAAATCCAATCCGTAGTGGATTTATTATCACTTAGACTTGTAATCCAACT